TAATTGGATGAGATCTGAGTATGAAATTGGTCCACCTTTAGAGTAAGAATCGATCTCTTTTTTTGCTTCTTCCACCATTGATAAAGCAGCAGAAAGTCCTTTGTTTTCTGGTCTCTCAATCTCAGAGCTTCACACACACACACACTCACACACACACACACACAAAAGAGTATAAATTCAGAGGACTTTTTGCTAATGTTAATAAGGGTGAAATCAGCTCTGGATTTGCCTGAAATTCAAACAACAATTCAGATTTCTCCAAAAGGGCAATGTGCTTCATTCTTTTTTACTAATTTACCCAATGTGCTTACTTATCTTTATCTAAATATCCTACAACAGAAATATATACTTCATGGTTTACGTTAATGGCTTTATAGAGGGTCAGCTTTATACTTGCTGCCAAATGGACAGGTTTTGTTCCATTTCTGTTAATTCCAAACCTGCTAATTCCACCCATGTCGCTTCTTGTTTCGGTGACCAAGCCTCAACTCAAACACCTGTAGATTCCCTTTCATTTCCAGTCAAAAACAAGCTATTTTATTCCATTTCTGTTGAAATCAAAGCCAATGATCCAAAATAGAAAGAAGATAGAGACAAGGAATTACCGAAGCAAATAACCCCTACTGTTGCCTTCGTCTTTCATTCCTGATCAACCAAAGAAGTCGACCCAAATCAGAGATGAAGGTCTGCCGGGGATCGACTGCCCTTTTTTCTCGCAGACCGAGCAAATAACCCCTAAGGTCGACGACAGCTCTCGTTGCCTCTTCCCTGTTCTTCGGACCATTCGAACAATGGAGGTGCTCACCTCCTTACGACTTCAGCCACCGAGAATCGACAGCAGTTTGCTGCTTCGTTCTTCTTCATCCTTCGGTCTAGCCAAACCCCCTAGGTCCTCACGTTTTCCTTTCCTTCGTTCTAGTCGACCCGGAGAATCCTCCCTCTTCGCAAATCGAAAGACGAAGCGCACCTGCAAAAGGGGGGAAGATTGATCAGATCAGTAGGCCCTTTATAAAAAGGGGAATTAGGTTAAATTCAACGTAACTAGCAAAATTATAGGGAGTATTTGTGGAAGTTATTTCTCAAATTACCTAGTTACCCTAATTGATTTATTTAATTATTGTTTTTTCTATTATTTTTTGATTGGTCCACAATCATGCATATAATAATACAATACTTAGTTAAAACACATGAACTTCTCTCTCTCTCTCTCTCTCTCTCTCTCTCTCTCTCTCTCTCTCTCTCTATATATATATATATATATAT